ATAGTATAGGTTTAATATATCTTAGTATTATAGATATAATTATGATAGTTATAGGCCTGAAGGTTATTTATATTTTCATATAGTATATATATATATAGTATTAGGATATAATGTAAGCGATGCGGTCATATACGTAGTATTATATATTGATATTTTTAATATAGTATGAGGTCATATGTACTATACTATAACTATTAGGTCATAGTAGGGTAGTAGGGTTAGGTGTATTAGATACTTCTGGATATTTATATATATATGCGCATAGTATATAAATAGATATGTAAATATTGTAAGCTTAGTACTTATATTTTATATTGAGTATTGATTAACAGCACTGAAAATAATGTGGTGACCTGTTTCTGTGTGAACTTAGTTGGTCTAAAGATGAACCTGCTGGATCCGACTCTGGCCATAGACCTGCAGTACCTGGGAGTTCGCCTGCCAATCCCTCCTCCTGGAGTCTCTGTGGAGCCGCTGACTCAGGAGCTGCCAGCGCCTCAGGGTTCGTTCCTGAGTCAGGGTCAGACACAGCTGAGCTTAAAAATTAAAAAGTATACATTTATTAAATAAAGTGCTTTAAAGGTACTCAGAGGCACTTTCCATGGTAACAGGAGCCAAGTGCTTGCTCATGGTGGTACTGTTGGGTCTCTGTAAATAATATTATAAAGAGTTCGGTCTAGACTTGCTCTATTTGAAAATATGAATTGGTGCTATACAAATAAAATTGAATTGAATTGAATACCAGACAGAACAAAACAATAACAGACAGAACAATAACAGTAAAACAATAACAGACAGAACAAAACAAGATTCAAGAGGTTTATTATCATATGTACATTATAAACACAAGGTTAGTACGCATAATGAAAATCTTACTTTGTCTGACTCCCTGAGGTGACACACAATTAGAACAGTAAGGACATAATAATTTAAAAAATATAAAAATGTTCAATATAAAATATAACTAAAATATAACATATAACTTATAACTTACAACTTACAACAACAAACTTAAAGTACAGAAAATTTGTACTGTAAACAAAGAAAGAAACCTGAGTAGAAAGGTGCTCTGTGCCTCACAGTTACACTTCAGGTGCTGAGTGACATCACATTACAGTGGGGGTGATTAAGTGTGGGGGGCTGTACTGTTTAAGAGTCTGATGGCCTGGGGGTAGAAACTGTTAGAGAGTCTAACTCTCTAATAGTATATAGTATAACAGTATAACAGAGCAAAACAATAACAGAAAGATCAAAACCACTATAAATAATACATTTTGACAATCAGATCTTCGTCTAATAACATGAACAGCGTCTTCATTTTGTTATATAATGTCTCTATATACTATTATATAATAATAATAATTACAATAATCTATAATCTATATATTGTAACTGTCTGTGTGGTGTTTGTTGCAGGTGTTTGTTCAGCGTTTGTGTCCAGAACAGGTAAAACCACAGATGTAACTCAGATCAAAGGTTGGAGGGAGAAGTTCAGTCCGTCAGAGACTCTGGTCGCCCCGCCACCGCCCAGACCAGAAGGTAATATCTCACTTTATCTGGATCAGCCTGGATCTGAACCAGGTCTCAGGTCCTTTGTATTTACCCATTTGTGCGTTTGTCAGCTGGTCCCGGTCCTGATGTTCCGAAGAAGAACCTGTCGGCATTCTGCAGCGACATGCTGGACCAGTACCTAGAAAACGAAGGGAAGCTGATCGACCAGCGAGCCGCCAGCTTCTCTCCGCCCCCTGTGGAGCCACCGGTCTACGAACTGCCCACCAGGAGCACCAGTTACGTCCGCACCCTGGACAGCATCTTAAAGAAACAGACCGGAACCTCAGACCTCATATCTGGGTTTGTCCCCCCCTCCAAGAGACCCAAACCCACCCTCAAAGAGACCAGAACTTCCAGGAGAGAGAGCTCAAAGCAGAGGGGTCCAAAACACTACAAACCAGAACCAGCAGCTGTACCCAGTCAAGCTGACTCAAACCTCGTCCCCAAACAGCCTGCAGTCCAGATCCCAGACTCCCCTCAACCCCCCACTTTCAAGAGGAGGAAGAAACTCAAACCCAGGAGCCTGTCCCAGACCCTGAGCCCCCACAGATCCACCAGCCCCCCGCCCGGACTCTCAGAGGACCTGGCTCCGCTAGAGTCGGACTCTGAGCTGGGGACTGCCCTGGACCAGAACTACGAGACCAGCAGGAAGGACGGAGGACCTGTGATGACCCGGACTCTGCTGAAGCAGAAGGACCTGGAGGATGGGGTGGTGTGGGAGGGCCAACCCAGGACCAGTATCACCGAGGAGAGGGCAGCCATCGCTCTGACATCACTGTTCACCCTGCAGGTGCAGTAAGAGTACTAATACTACACAGTACTAATACTACTACAAAGTACTAATATTACACAGTACTAGTACTACACAGTACTCATACTACACAGTACCAATACTGCAGTACTACACAGTACCAATACTGCAGTACTACTGCAGTACAAACACTCTGTTACAAGTACACCGTGTCACTACAATAACAGTATGTGTATAAAGAGTAAAATGTAGTTAGTATTAAACTACAAGTATTAAACTGTGACTGTTATATCTATAATCTATAACGTCTGATGAGGTGTCTGTTATCAGGAATTAATGGGATGCCAGAACCATTTGATGCACTTAAACTTAAATTATTATTCTGTAATTATTATAAGAACATAGAAATTATTACAATCATTGAAAGGAAAAGCAGATCCAGAGGTTCAGTCAGCTTCTCCCGGTTAGGATTCCTTTAGTGTTCATGGTTCAGGAGGTTT